GTCGATTTATCAATTTTTGGATATTTGCATTTATTAGTTTTATGCTTGTTTGCTTCTGTTTGATTGACCATTTAATGCAGCAAAAAAACTCTATTTTAAATTTTGCAAACGTATTGATTCCGGTATATCCATTACATTGCTCCGACCATCGATGCAGAAGGACACTGATTTCTTGTTTTTATCTGGCTTTGTCCTACAAATATTCCCTAAATATTCAAGTTACTTCGTTAAGTAATCTTACCGAAATACCCTTCGTTCTAATCTAATCTAATTTTTCCATAAGAATGAAGATAGGGGTAGGTATTACCCCCGACGAGACAGTTTAAGTCAACGCGATTGATAAACCATAAAACTAGTTTTAATTTTTAGTACCGGTTTTCTAGTTCTAATTCTCTTTTTTTAGGGAGGGACCCGCAACCCTAATAATAAAGGGTCGGCCCTTCGGGACGAAGGGATTATACTTTGTTGTCAATTACAAAGAGGGTTAGCCGGAACGGGACGCAATTTATTGCCATAGCGTTAAGTTTTTTTTTTGAGAGCATTAAATAAAGATTTTTAATAATTACAAGTCACCATCGTAGGTATCCAAAATATCTTTTATGATGTTATAAAAGCATAAAATAAAACGGAAATAATAGTCTTCAAAGAAAGCGATAAAAATATCTTACACAGATTTTACCACCCTGAAAACGGTCGTTAATAACTTTGAGCCGTATGCCAACGTAATTTGCACTTTAATTATATTTCATTATTTTATATTTTATTTAAGCATATTAAACCGTAAAATATAAAAAAATTCGGATAACTTTTGATTCAATTGGTTTGAACTGCTTCTCGGCCGTGATGGTCACCATGCTTCCTGTTTCTTGATAAACTTTCTTCTGATTGACATAAAATGTTGGTTTTTCTTTGACTGCTTTCATTTTATTTCTTACTGAATTTGCCTCTGTTAAAATAATGCAAAAAGACAGGTATACGTTTCTATAGGGTATTTTAGTCTCTGCCATAAATAACAGTGCAGTTTCTAAAGAACTTTGAGTCGCATGGGGAAATTTGGGATAACCTTTGATTCAATTGGTTTAAACTGCTTCCTGGCTTTAATCAACATCATGCTTCTGATTAATATGACATGTTGGTTTTTAGATTTATTTCTTCCTGAATCAGCCTTGTTAGACCATAACTATAAAATAACATAACCAAAATAATGGTCTTCAAGGAAACAGGGAAAATATATTATCGTAAAGAAATATTTGTCGTTTCTGTAGGATATTTTTGTGTCCCTCATAAATAACAACAAAGATTTTACCACCTATTAACTTTAAAACGTTCCCTAATAGTCGTATGCCAACATAATTTGATTTATAATCTTAAATTCTGAAATTACGATATCATATTAAAAAAATTAATATATAAATATAAAAAAATACAATGGGTTTGAACTGCTTTCTGATTGTAATCATCGAGCATCCCAACTAGCACAAACGTAAAAAATAACTGGCGCAAATTTATAAAACAATTGTATCCGATAGATGTGATATAAAGATCGCCCATGATAATTATATAACAATATTTACCAGATTATAAAAACGTTGCATAACAGTTTTTTAATATCTGTGAGGTCCTGGATTATCCTAAATAACATTTCTGTGTTCTTTGACTAGCATTGTCAAAGAAAGAACTTTTGATTTACTTGGTGCGAACTGCTTCCTGCTTCGTCACCACCCTTCCTTTTTCTCCATGAACTTTATTCTGATTTATTTCATCCTCAGATTGCATATGCTAAGCATAATCACAAAATGAAACAGAAATAATAGTCTTTAGTGAAACGCGGAAAAATATATTGCAATAAATAAATTCTTTGTTATTGTGCAGTTTCCAATGATTTTACCACCTCTTACATAATTTGACTTTTAAGCTTAAGTCCTGGAATTATATTAAATAATAATTTTCCTAATGTTATTTATTATTTTTGTTATTATTATTTAATACCCGCCTTTTAGATACAAAGTAACGTGTCAGATGATATACCCACTTTAAAATATCTGACGCAATTGAGTGTCAATTATTAAAGCGAATAATATCTCGTTCGACGGATTAGATCTTTGACGTTTAAAATAATTGAGTCAAATGTAACTAACGAAGCGGAGGATTGCGCATTCGAAGTGTCGCTTCCTTTCATTATTTTCCTCCTTTTTTTTAAATGTAATTATCGTTAGAAGTTAGTAACATCGTTTGAATAGGGGATTGTCGTTAAAAATATTATTTTTTTTAAACTACTTTAAGTGTAGAAGCAAGTATTTATTGAAAAAGTACCGACAAAGAGAGAGACAAAATAATTTCATTATTTATGATCAAAATTAAGTTGAGATATCAACCTAAATAACAAAGATAACAAAACAGTCATTTTCAAAATAAAATAATATAATTTAAAAAAATAAAATTATAAATATTTTATTATTTGTTATGCATACATTTTTTATTTATTTATTATTTTTGGTGACGGTAAAGATAAGTATACGTTTGCAAAACGTTAATTAAAGAAGCTGAAGATGCTAAAAAACTTGAGAAAAAAAAACAAATCTTCCAGCTGGAAGGGAGAATATTTTAAAATTTCGATAGAACCACTTCACTTCAGTAAGTTAGTGGGCACTAAAAAATGCTAATAATGTCTCGTTAGGTAATTTATTAACTTAGGTATAATATTTCTAAAATTAAATCGATTTTTATACGTGACACCTTGTATATTTTTTAAAAATTGAATATAGCTTGAAATGACCTTTCCAAAAATATAGCATACCCTATACTTTGATACAGTTTTATTGCAGGTTTTTACCATTTAGAAACAGCTGTCACGCTGGTAGATGTGAAACTGCGAATGTGGTTAGTTTGGTGTTTATTTTTAACCTTTCAAGTAACTGGGATATTATAGTTTGTTTTATGAAAGCCGCAAAGAATGCAATACGATCAATATCTTAACAGAAAAAACATATTCTTAAAGATAAGCTAATTAATAGCAGGCAAGTTGAGAAAAAGTAAATAATAAGAACCAAGCTGGAAGCAAATGCCTCGGAACTTACCAGAGTAATAGGCACAATCAGGGAAGAACCAATACCTATACAAAGAACTAACCAATAACTCATACAATTGTATACAAATGACAGTATTACAAATTGGGGCTGCCCAACAAAGAAAGAGCCATGATGGTCAAGATGGCCTGGAAATAATGCTAGACAGAGGAAGATGGAGGCATGTAGTAGAGTCCGTAGAAATCAACCCAGGGCTGTGAAGCCAAGTTGAAGGAGCAGGAGATTGAGTAGAAACGGCCCAGAAATTATACATAAACTTCCTATGATTGGCAATAGTCGTTTTAGACGCCGTTCAGGATAAGAGAACTAGCGTTAGATGAACGTAAAAAAATTTAAAAATCCTAATTTAGTAACTATCTTAACGCATTTGTTTTTTGTATTAGAGTTGCACCTTTTAAAACCTAGCTATATTTTTAAGTTGATTTCAATTATCAAAAAACATATAGAGTGTTTCTTTTGATAAATCAATTTTTCTGTGTATAAAGTTGCTCTTGAGATGTTTTCTTCGTGTAAATAATAAATTTTAGAGAGAGTTACGGTGAACTTTTAAACGCGCACATTTTTAAAAAAATCTAAAATTTTTAGATAGGGGACGGTTTTTTTTTTCATTAGGAAATTTGGAGTTTCTGCAGAGAGAAGAGGTGGAACTGAGTCTTAGAAGCTTTACTTGACACATATTATACCCGCAGTGGTTTAAGAAACAAACCAATATGCGAAAAAAAAAATTCGTTGTTAGCTTTTTGGACAGATCCCGATGAATCATAGGACATTTAACTCTAAGCCAGTAATCCTCATGTTACAGTAGCAAAATGAAAAGATAAAAGGAAGGTTTTACTTTTGTAAACTGAAGCTTCCTACTCGACTACTGTACTACTTGCTATATAAAGAAGGTTACATAGAACTACTCACAAATACTGCAGTGATGGTGAATGCTGATATAGCATATTAATCTGTTGCTAAAAAAACTATTAACATAACCAATATGCTGTCAATATAACAACTATAATTTGTTATCCAATATAGTACACATAGTTGAGCTGCATTAGTTCCAATTTTTTATAACATTTGTATGAATTAGCAATTAAGGATATTAACGAATCTAATTTAAACAAACATCTAATAAATTAATAGATAACAACAAACACAAAGAAATTTCTCAAATGTCACTAGTAAAAAGTATCAAAAACAAAGCTTCTGAAAATAACGTAATATTTACACCTGTAGATGAAGGGAAGACAGTCATAGTTATAGATCTCCCAGAATATATTTCAAAAACCAACAATTTTCGTAAACCAGAACTTTTCCAATGTATCAAATACGATCCTACCGAGTTATATCAAAGACAAGTCAAGAAAGTAATTACAAACATTATTTAGTCACAAAGACAAATATTTTTTTAACAATTATGAATCCATAACCGCCGAAATTATATTCTTTAGTTAAAGTACATAAACAAGATATGCCCATTAGACCAGTCGTGTCTTATGTAACAGCTCCAGCAGTTAAACTCTCAACAAATTTAGTAAATATTTTAAAGTTCCACACAGATTTTAAGCCCAAATTTGCAATAAAAAACTCTTTTGAATTAATTAACAAAATTAAAGATATCAAAATCCCTTCTAACGCAACACTATTGTCTTTTGATGTACAAAACTTATTTCCCAGTATTGCACCTATGGATGTGATAGATTTAGTAGATTTCACCCTCACTCGGAAACAGGTTAACCCATTTATTAGATTGCTTAATAGTATCTTTAGACCAAAATTATTTTGAATTTAATGGACAGATTTACATCTCCAAGGAACGTTTGATTATGGGAAACCCACTTAGTCCTTTGTTAGTCGAGATTTTTATGGATAATTTTAATAGAACATCTTTTAAGTAAAAGTTTTCTATGGTGTTACAGATATGTGGATGATGTCTTTGCTTGCTTTGTTGGAACGGACAGACAATTGAATTCTTTTTTAAATTACATTAACTCATTATATAATCGTATAAAATTTACTATCGAAATTGAACAGGATAACTCTATTAATTTTTTAGACTTAACTATCACGAAAACGCAAAACAAATTAGATTTTTCCATTTATCATAAACTTTCACACACGGACACAGTTATACACAGACTTCTTAATACGCCCCTCTCAACAGAAAATTACAACAAAGAACTTAATATCATTAAACAAATTGCACTCAACAACTACAATCTACAATCCGTCCATTACAGATACAATTATAAATAAAAAACAAATCCAGATAACAGTAAACTCTATTTATCCGAATCCTAATACAGAACATGAACAATTTAAAACAATTACATACATAGGAGAACCCAGTGAAAAAGTTTCAAAACATTTGTCACAATGTGGTTTAATTGGACAAACAGGTAGAAGAGCGTTTAAAAACAATAGTCTGGATTCTAATTATGCTACAGATTTAAACACAGAAAAACACATTTTTAACGACAATTTTGACATTTTACATATAGCCACAAAAAGTATAAGATTTAATTTATTGGAAGCCATGGAAATTAACAAAATGAGACATTCAAATGTAATGCTTAACGATCAATTAGATTTAAATACCTCTCCTTTATTGAACTTAAATTCTCACAACAACATCGCTCATTTTTCGGTATATATGGGAGCAGGTAGTTCGTAAATATTATATTTCATAAAGACACGGTGTTGTCGAAACAATTGTCATGTCATAATACATAATTTCGTGAAAATCTGTACTTTTAGTTCTTATTCATTTTGATAAATGGATTTTCATTAAGTAAAAGCCACCTCAGTTCAAGAGACCTTATTTGTGGATTTTTTTGGTCGCGTACTTTCTCGCGTTAATATTTATTCCAAGTGTGTCCGCAGGGAATTCGGTTACTCTACCTGACGTGATTATGCCCAACAAGAGGCAGGTGAGTGGGTAATAATTGGGATCCTATTGGTTACCGTTCGTGGGATAGCTTAAAAATGGATTTATGCTAAAGTTTTTTTGGTAGCGTTGATTTTGGTAAATTAATGCGTGTACTTTACAATTTCGATGGCTGTCCGTCCTTTGGTTCTTTATAGGCGCATAAATTTGAAAATTTGTGGCGCATTTTATTTACACAAGAGTCAATTGCGAATTCAATCTGGTTTGGTGTTAAAGATTCAACGTTACGAGCACAAATAAGCCAAGCTGGCCACATTGTCGGGGAAGCACAATTGTTTTAAATTTAAATAAAGTCACAGCCGACAATCTCGTTGGCGTATATTTTTGCTCGGTTGACTCAGTCATCCACTAAAAAAAAATTTAAAAAATCGTTCAAAATATTTACATTTTGTTTTATTTTTGTCAAGTATAACATTAATAGAATATTCAATTAAAGTTAATTTTACCATAAATCTTAACAATAACAATTTTTGGTATTTTAAAATCTTGACGATTCACAATTTTAAAGCAAAAAGGTGAACATTACATCGGAAATGTAAACAAGTAACTTTAAATAACCCTATCCTTATTTCCCTTTTTTCCTTGCTAAAACTTGGAGAAGATGTCACCATTAAATGTTTGATCACAACTAAATAAATAAGAAATTCCGTATATTACTTCAAATATCAACTAATTAATAACATTGAAATTCTTTGAAATCCATGTATACATGCCAACACCTAGGCCTGAAACACCTGTGCAATAAATAAATGTTTTATTTTCCAAAGAAAAACAATTGTTTTTATATCTAGATTACTTATCAGTAGTCGCTGTGAATACTCGCCTCTCTAATCCATTTCTCCTAATTCTATAATAGCGAGACATTTAAATCAATATTCTATTAAATTTCTGCTAATTTGTATGCATGAAATCCTTTAGTGCACTGATAAATCATCTAAGGATAAAGAGTGTACATTAGAAACCTTTGGATTTTGCCCTTGATAACAGCAGAGCCTCAGTGATAAGTATATGCTATTGGTTGTCATAGCTTTTAGTGTTTATGTGAAAACGTGCAGATATTAATAAGGTATAGTATTACATATATCTCCGTCTAATAGTAAGTGTGTTGAGTGTAGTTTTCTTTGAGAGTGTAGTTCTGAGTGATATTTTATTTCTACAATCCACCCCACATCAATATACCGTAACCTAAAAAAAGGCTCTACAGATGAACTGTATATTAAGAGGAGCAAAAACTTGGACATAATCTGCCTTATTTGATAAAAGAACAACTTCCTTATTTTCTTAGACAAATAACATATATGATTTTCCCACTGGATCAATAATTAGTCCTAAATATCTGATCTCAGCACTTTCTTTAATTATGTCATCAGTCCCGTCAATTTTTGTATGGTCTATTTGCCCTACTTATAGAAAAGGACAGACGATGTTCACTCAATCAGTCTCTCGCTATGAGCGAACTATTCTGTGCAAGTGATCGTGTCTCATGTCAAGTGTCACCACGAGGAAGGAGAACAGTATCATCAGCAAAGGATTAACTATCTAACCCCTAGAATTAATGACAGAAGTTCATGGATATAATGCAGAAAAAGTACTGGGCCAATCACAGTCCCCGGTGGGACTTGCAAAGTCACTTTCATTAGTTCACTGAGGATACCATTCACTTTAGCTTTTAGTTCAATTTTTTTGAAATTTCTTTAATTAGTGGAAACAGGGTCAACTGTGCTTTTCCTTTTTTACTTTATTCTTAGCAATAAAATCTACCAATCGTTCATTAGACCCTTTCCAAATATTTGTGCAAATGCGTTAATGAGGTTGTTCGGCCTATAGTTGTTAATTTTAGACTTGTCACCAGATTTCTAGATAGGAATTACGACAGCACTTTTAAATTGGGTAGAAACTACTCTTAAGACATAAAATATGTTGATGTATATTCTTAATTAGACTGACAGGTATATTATCTATTTCTGGTGCCCGACCGTGTTTTAAGGTAGATGTATGTTTTATTACACCAGCATCAGTTAGAGGAACCAAAAACAGCACCTCAATGTTCCCTTTAACGCATTTTTTTTTAATTTATCGCGTATTTTTATGGTTCTGCAGATATCGAGATAATCGTCAATTTTTTGGTAGAACAAATCAGAGGCAAGTTGTGCTTGCTTACATCGCAGTATATCAAATCAGTTTTATTATTTAGTTTATTGTTTAATTTAAGTTGATCATACTAATTAGATGCTTTAATTGCCTGTTGTTGAATATTACTCGCCTGGTCTTCTTCTTTTTCTTGGTGTGCCTATCCGTTCCGAATGTTGGCGGTAACCAAAGCGATCTCAACTTTGTTGACTGCTGTTCTGCATAATTCTCTTGCTGACACGGAAAACAAATCTTCCAGGTCCTCTTCTGCCCAAGATCTTTCCTTGGAGTATCAACTGAAGCAGACCGTATCTCTTTTGGTTTCTCATTATCTATCCACTATTTCGCAATCTTTCTGAAGCATATCTAATCCAGGAAATTCTAAGAATTCGTCTGTAGCGACACATCCCAAAGGCTTCAAGTTTCTTTGTGGACGTCAATGTCCAGTAGCCAGTAGCTAGTAAAGTTGACCAATCTTTAACTTTACTAGCCCGCAATTTGGCGAGTAAACTAGTTTCAACGCTGCCTCGATTACACAGGGGTAGCTTACTAGCGGATAGTAAAAAGAACGAGAATACGCGGTATCGAGCACAACTTCGTGTTTATAATTAATATTATCAGGTTCCCTGTATCTAACATAACGAAATCAGCTGTGCCGCCGCCTCCCCCCGCCGCCAGCGACACACGAAGACCTAAACGTCCATCCGAGTCGTCCCGTGTCGTCACAAACGCGTAAATAATTAGGACGCGATGATTTCGACTTACGCATATACGACACCGTCGTCGTCGTCGCCGGAGCTGGCCCGTCCGACAGTCTCCCGCGTGACGTAGTCGAGGCACAGACGTATCCGCAGACGGTCGCGCCATTACAATGTCGACCGAATCGATTTCCTACCCCCACCACCACCACCACCGTCAGCTCGCGGAGACGAACGCGATCGCGAGCCGAACGTTCCAGTCGAGGCCCGAGGTTCGGCCGAAGAACAACACTATGGCGACCTGCTACGCCGCGTACGAATTGAGTTCCTCTGCTGCTGCTGCTGCTGCTGCTGTCCAGCAGCAGAGGACGGTGCAAGTGCCTGTGCAAAAGGACTACTCGAGGCCGCTGCACGTCGACTGCAGCGTCGAATACGAACTGCCCAACACCGCGAAACCTCCGCAGGGGGTCCGCAACGAGCCGCTCCTCATGATCCACCCGTGTTACTTTCGGAAGATCGAGAGCCAACGCAGGAGTCCGTTCATCAACAACCTTCCTGCGTCGAGGGTGACCGCCGCGACGGTCAAACGACGGATGCCCAGAGGTCAGCAGCTGCCGCAGCAAGTGCCGATTCAAGCCGCCCAGTATCCCGCGCAGTATTCCCAGGAACGGAGCTTTTGGGAACCGATGCCTCCCCTAGTGCCAATCTCCCAGTCGGCGTATTGCAAACGGGAACCTCCCGCGGGTTCCGCTTGCGGCGCCTACGCGACCACCGCCCGGGATTCGGGACACTGGACCGATCCCGAATGTTCGCCCGATCGTCCAGACGACAAACACATACTGACCGGCAAGTACCGGCAGTACCTGAGGGCGCACAGACTGCATCCCTACGTCGGTTCCGCCATCCCGTTAGCGTCGACGTTCCCGCAGATTCAGCAGGTGTGCTACAACGTGTGATCGCTGTGATATGGTCGTAATGAGAGAGCGCGGAGGCTTTTGTTCGTGTAGTTTCCGTCACCTTCCTTGTGATAATAGTGTGTAATCGTCGTGTTCCGGGCGCGCAAGCGTCTCTCCGGGGCGTGGTAGTGGTGATGCAGATGATAGATCAGCTGTGTACGTGTATTTCCGTGACCTAAACGCCGCATATTCTGTTCTTGGATTAGTGATGGTTTTGTGGTTTTCCCTCATGTGTCTGCGACAGGTTTGATTTGAATTATCTCCCGGCCGACCGGGGTTGCCGACTTTTTCGAGGCGAACTATAGAGTCTTTTAGAATTAAACGTACCCGGGCAAAAGCATTTTCCGTTACTTGGAAAGTCACCGTTCCTGGATATTATCACTTATCTCCCATGGATACTATATTCTGGTCAAAGATTAGTGACGATTTCGCGTTTTTCTCACTTAAACGGTGTCTACGACAAATTTGATTTGGATTATCCGTCGTCCTATTAGGGTTGCCAACTCTTTTCAGCCGAAATGTAGGGAAGTATAACCATAACCTGTTCTCGTAATAGTTTTGTGTTTCATTCGAATCCTTGGACCGTTTCGGTTCGAAACGTATCCGTCAGAAATCGTAAGTTACGATCACCAGCGATGGTAAAATTATAGTTTTCTCGTCCGTATCCCTCTGCGAGGTAAAGATCGAGTTGGATAATTACATGCAATTCGAAAACTCGTTGGACGTATATGAATATGGCGACGTCTTCCGATTTGTGACGATTGCGTTTCGGAGGAAAAAACATCCAAGCTGGTATGTGAAAGCGAATTCGTTGGAAACTTGTGTTTCGCCTGGTGTTTTCGAAATTTGTTTATTATTTAACCTTATTTAGTGATACATTTTATAATTTCAGCTGATATACATTCCCTGGTTATAAAACCTATTTTAATGAATTAATAATGAAAGGTATTCAGGCGAAGGGTTTTTTCTAGTGCTGGAAACTGCGTTGCCAACTTCGAATGGTACGATAAAACGAGCAGAGTCCTTCATTTTGAAATAAATGATTGCGAATTGTTATAACGTAGTTCGTCCGTGTTAAGTTTAAATTTTTCCTCTGAACGCATATTTTCAATAATAGAAAAGTACAGAATGGCATATGATCGTGTTTCAAAATAAAATGTCAGTCTTGCGTTTGGTACGACCGCTTATCTATGGAACTAATTAGAAATGCATCGACCACCAGATGTTCTTTACAATGATTATTAATAGTGGTTGAGATAGTCTGAAGATCGACCTGATTCGGTTACTATCTCTATTTTCTTAAAATCAAAAAAATTTATTGCAATCGTTTGGATCCGGATGATTTTACTTTATATATCTACTTAGTTACCTTATACGGTAACGTGTATGTTTTTTCTTGATAGTGTACTACTGTACTAACATGGCGTATATGCGTATAGATCCCGTTAATTGGGTGTACGCTGGTACCTTTCGTTCTGTATCGTAAAATATTTGATACGGCTTCTAACGAAACCTTTCAAAATTAGTTATGTGAAAATGAACTAATCGTATAAATCATTTTTCACTTCTTTTCAGTATCCACACAGGCCTTGTTTCGGCCACCCGTTGGCATTATGAGTTCGATAGATTTCCGGTCGTGCTATTCCTGTAAATTTTCTTAAAATATAATATAATGCTATATAATATAGTACGGTTGGCAACCCTAGGCAGGCCGGAAGGTCCCAATCGTCTACTAAGTTTGGTAAAATAGCTTTAACGAATTCTAAAACAGTAAGTGCTTGAAAACTTTTTACACACCAACCTTTAGGAACGTTAGGGGAGTTTAATTAAACCGCTTATCGATTAATATTTTATACACGCATCCGGTGTTATTTGAATTGCGAAAGCTCGACAGACCGTCGGCACATGAAAGTTTTCGATTCACCGTCTACGTAAAATATCGATTCACAGGGTACCTATCGTAGTGGTTATTAGTTCCTGGTACGCTATTTACGACTTTTTTTCTCATAATTGCTTTTAATGGAGGGTCGTCTCTAATTGTTCGTACTCACCTTCGGGTTTTGTTCAGTCAACAGTTCAAGCTGTTGTGTCTCTTGATTACTTTCTAAATAATTTTTAACAATTCCGCCACTATATTATTCAACCGCTCCGTGTTTTAGTGTCTACGTATGTAAAAATAGAACTTTCGAAAAATATCTGAGTGTTGCTAGAGTTGTAACTAAGTAAAATTCCTCAAAAAAACACAAAAAAAAGGATGGCGCGTCCCGAAGGACGCGCTTGCTTAACAGATAATCCTACGTCTTTCATTAGAGTTTAGATTTAGGTAAAAATTAAAAGAATACGCTGAACTTATGGCAGAATATCTACGGGTTTTTTATAGTAACTAGTGAAACGTCGATAGACAATACGAAGGCCGCGTTTTCAAGTTGAATTTTGTCGCAGATACGAAGACGATGTCTCTTTATTTATTTCGTCGCGTAGGTCAACGTAATTATTAATATTATTAAATCGACTGAAGTTTTTTAGTAGGTATTTTGATATATCTCGGATGTCCTTTGTTACCGGCATATTTTTGCGAAATTTTGAGCTGATTTGAGCTGTCAGTAGCATTCCAGACTTTAAACTGAATCACGCTGAGATAAGTTCAAAGTATCTTCGATAGAAAAATAAGTGTCAAATTTAGGAAAAGAAACGTATAATCCGTAATATACAATGTAAAGGCGTGACGTGGAAATTTCGCGGTCCGCCAACGTTTGTTTCATTACGGGCCGTGAAATTTTTACCGTGAACATTATAGCGAAAACACTACTACATTCTATATTCAAATAGCTACTTTCTACACCAAAGAAAATATCTTTTCACTTTGTATATAGAAAAATAGGTACTGGCTAGAGTTGTGTATTCTCTAACCGATGTCGAGATCTTGTGAATATGTATAAAATATTGGCTATATATATTGTACAGCTAGTCATAGTCAAAATACGCTTATAAAGTATAATAAAACGTGTTACTGTTTTTATAGAATGAATAGTGGTTTTATTTATCTTCGCGCATATTTAATCAACAACGAAAATCGCACGTTCAGATCTTTTTGCCGTACCTCAAGGTTCCAATTAGATCGCGAAATGAGTTTGTTTTGTTTTCATAATTTTGCAAGTGATATCAAATAGCTAGCCCAGCAAATTCGTAAAATTTGGTATAAATCAAAAAGCAAGGTTATGTCATTTTTTTTTATCGAATGCCATAAAATATAATAATAACTAAATTGAGAAACTCAGATAGCGAGGTTAAACATGATTGAATCAAGAAAAACGTCGAATTCAAAACGTCAATTTAATTTATGAAACGGGAGACATGTTTCGCCTAAAATGACACCATCAGACCAAAACAATCCGAATACGAAACGCACACATTCATAATTGTCGTTTTAACAATAATAAATTTGAACAATCATCAGGACGAGCCAAAATAGTTATATAGAGTTTTACTTTATTACATTTCGAAAATATAAAATACATTTTTTTTTATAAAATGGGTCGATATAAACAATATCCTTGACCAAAGTTGCTTCGGTAGAAATTTTCTTTATTATGAAATTTATTTTTTCTGAAAAGTGAACCAAAATATTTATAGGGGATTATTTTATTATAATTCAAAAGTGTAAAACCCTATTTATTTTTTTGAATCTGATATATTTAATAGATTTTATTGCTATTTGTTTGTTGAAACATTCAGCAGAATTAAATATTTACAATGTATACAATGTCCCATTATAAATAGACATCTTACTATTTTGCCAAATTGTTATGTTGCAACAACAGTAAGGTCTTACTTATGTTAGGATTATAGGAAAATTAATAAAATTCCCCTTTGTCCAACATAGAGCATTGAGCATAAAGACTTTTGTGCAGAACGCCAAAGACTACAGCATACTAAATTTTTTTAAAAATTGGCCTAAAGTCATGTATTGCCCCTAAAAGTGTCAGATGTTATAAAGTTTCGGTACGATTTAGAAAATAGTATACTCTGATATTGGGAAGCCTACTATTAGCCTTGCATAAGTTTCAGCTGTGGCTAAAAAAAAGTTTATCTTTTGCATTTGTCACATCTTGCACGTTTTTGTTTATTTCTCTATTTAGACCTTCACACGACTCACTATTTTGTCGTAACTTTGACATCCTCAGAAAAACTGTTCCAAATCTTCTTTTAACTCTATGTTAACCAATTTTAACACTCATTTAATTTTATTTTGTAGCCAATGCCAGACCCATCATCTTTTGATGTTAGGTAGTAAAAAATTATTACTAAAATATATCTACTGAATTAGTACTACTATGAATAAACACTGTCCCCAAAAAGATCTGAAGCAGTGACACATAACCTCTTAATACTATGAGTTCCCAGTGTAAAAGCAGTATGCTTCAACATTAGTGTCGACTACTTTGTCCATGGACTATAAAGCGCAGAGATATGCTGCTTCATTTTTAGGCGATATATTTTTTTCTCTGTGCTACCTGAAAATCTGATACTTTATAGAAAATAAAAAATTATGCCGAAATGCCGGCAATAGCGGCTGAGCTCATTTAAAATTTCATTTTCCTATTTAAATAACACAGAAAAAATTTTTTTTCGGTTTTCACTTGATCTTTCGACGTGAAGAATTTTTTTTTCGGAAAAACACATGTATAGCTTTTGAGTCAACAGAAACTCCAAAATAACATAAAAAATTACACTTCTACATATCATTATTTATTAGTTAAAATTTATATTCGTTCACTAAATTTTAGAGTGGTCACTGGATTACAAACATGAATAGTTTCTCAATGTTTATAATTAATTATTATATAATTATAATTAATATTTTTTTAATAATTGAATTTTAATTTTCTGGATTTGATTCCAAAATAATTATATATATTATAATTACTCAAATAAAGCGTTCTTTTGTTTATAATTAATTGTTATTTAATGTAAAAAGAATAATTATAATGAACATTTATTTTCACAGCTCTATAACTTAAAAGCTGTTGGTCGGGGGGAATGTACGCAAAAAGGAACTTTTTGTATCAAATTTTATGCTCTACAAAAGCTGTACACGCGTTTTTCCCAAAAAAAAAAATTCTTCAGGTCGAAAAATCAAGTAAAATCCGAAAAAAAATTTTTTCTGTGTTAATTAAATAGGAAAATGAATTTTTAAATGAACTTAGCCGCTATCGCACTTAAAGCCTTTTACCCGGCGGCATAATTTTTTATTTTCTACAAAGTCTCAGATTTCGAGGTAGCACAGAGAAAAAAAGATATCGCCTAAAAATGAAGCACCCTAATGTATACCTGGTCATATAAGGGGATGCAAAGCGGTAAGTAAACCTTTTTACTAATCTAAATGCGGTGAATATTGTCAAACTTTCTCTCCATTATGATAGTTTTTTCAGCTGCAATAGGAAAACGTCTAATGCATAGGAAACATATGGAATTAACGTCGATCATACGAAAGTAAAAAATAAAACAGATTTTTTTCTGTTTATTTGCCTTTTTTTTGCCTTCAGTAAAATCGAATGAAAGACATCGTTTTTGTCTTGTTAGATTATTTCGCACATGCTGACTGCCGTGGGTATATTTAAATCACCATTTACTTTAGCGCGAAGTAATTTCGACATTAGGCATTTGATAAACGACTTTTTCAGTTGAAAAATGTGTGCCGATATTCGCAAAACTGACACCGACGATCTTACGGATAATTGATTGAATCAAATCAATTTATACGGCTTTAAAGACGTATTCGTTAATGTGTTAGAGTTCTGTCGATATATTTAATAAAAAACAGGAAATCGGAGATAAGGAGTGAAATTATTGACATACCATAAAATATATAAAGTTTCGATTAAGGATTAATGTTTGAGCAATTTTTGATGATCTACTTTTCAACACCAAAGTTTATTTGTTTAGTTGTTTTGTTGCTGGTTGATAGCTGGGTTCTAACAATTTGTATATTTCTACCCTTTGCTATAACGTAGAGCAAACTTTTCAGTTTTATTATTTCACAATTTAATGACTTTTTTTGGGTTTAAATGTTAAAGCAACTTTATATATCCTTTTGCATAAGAACATGCGCGATTTTCCAGTCAGTGTGACCAAATATGGAATTAGACCAACAGATGGTCCTAGAAATAAAAAGTAAATCGGTAAAAAGAAAATGCTGGAATTTCTTTTAGAATTTCTGGAATGGCCTCCACGAGGTGATTTTTAAAACTGGGTTTCTACAAAAAATTGTAATGTTCTCTCTCTAATCTCTACAAGGAAAGTGGTGAGAGGTGTTCGAATATTTTCTTAAATAACGGTCTTTAGGGCTAGACGCATTTTAATCAATTTTTACTATAAGGGACGCGATTGTGATTGCTTACCATACCACGAGGTGGATTTTGCTGAGATAATCGCAAAAAAAATCTGAAAAAAGAATAAATCCAAGAATATGAGTTTTTTATATTATTAGATAGTCAAATTAAGTTCCACTAACTTAGGTAGTAAGAATATTTTTGTTTTAAGGAAGAGAGTTTCTGGAAATGTACCATATCAATTACCCTAAAAACAGTATTAAGTTTGGGAAGGATGACGGCTTAAGTGACTATTTATACTTTGCACTTAAAACACACAAGAGAAGAAGAATAATTAATAATAATTAATTAACTTTCAAATCTTTTATAATAAAAATAATAAAACTGTTTTATTTTCAACAGGTACACATTTTTACGATTTAGAACCCATTGTACTGGGTGTAATATCGTCTTATCTTTCTGATAGATGGCAAGCAGTTTTTTGCAATAACGAAATGTAAAGTTGGAATGGAATGCCACAGGGTTCGATTATGGGTTCATTATTGTTTTTGGTTTACATTAATGATCCCTTTGACCATATTGGACCCTGTGGTTGCGGTTTATTTTGCAGACTACTTCTACATTTAAAACATCAAACCCGAATATAGAAATTTTTAGAAAGAAAACACGGCCTAAAAATTAAATGTTTTCAATAAGGGAAGGGAAATCTGCTCAACATATTCCATAAACATTTATTGCATGCGAAAAAGTGCGTCAACCTGTCACACAATTTTAGAATTTCGTAACTCGAAAAATCTGTTACTCACCTAAGCTTATATAATCTATTTCCAAAATTAGGTCACTAATTTTCCATTTAAAAATTGTTAAGCAAAAATAAAATCATTTTTTATGTAACATTGCATTTATTCTGCAGAGCAGGTATTACAACTTTTGACATGTTATGGCAAAAACAAAATAAAGGGTTAGTAGCCAAGTTTTTTTCCAAGCGACGTATAAAACAAAACACTATCAATTTTCTGACATATAATCATATTTTTTAAAATAGAACACCCTATATATTTGTGTTTAAATATAATCTTATTATTATCATTATAATTTTATTCCGATTATAATGATTGAACACACTTTATATTTTAGTAAACTCGTTTTCGACAAATCTGCAAAAATAGGAAATTTTTAAATAATTTCAAAGAGTGCCCTGACCGAAATAAAAATATGGTTATGTTTGACATTAGCAAACAACGTTGATGGTTGAATTATTGTCCAAATCATTATTGTTAGAATGGTTTTTCGCGAATGTAGCATCCGTGAAAGGAGTGATATGCTTCAAGTATACTTTCTGAATAATGAAAGTGCAACCGTAGCTCGCCGTCAGTATATTGGACTTTATCCAGAGCGTCGAGTTCCTTTAAAACAGATATTTCCGAGGCTGGCAAAGAAATTTGTAGAAAACGGTAACGGCTTAAGTAACTATTATATAGGACTGCAGCTGTCTTTTCGTTTCAGTGAAACAGTAAAACAAGCAAAAACGTCATCTACGTATCTATCAGCGAATTTATATATATATATATATATATATATATATATATATATATATATATATATATATATATATATATATATATATATATATATATATATATATATATATATATATATATATATATATATAGGCAAAATA